TGACTCTTTTTCCTCTTCCATCTTGAAAGTCTTATCGCAAGCTCGGTACGTCGTTGGTTTTGTCAATACTGATTGGTAGAGAAGGGGGACAAACGGGGAAAGAGTATATATACAACGTGAGCAGGCATATTATAGACATAGTTTGAGAAAGAATTTTCACGTTGATCGCATATTGTATATTTAGTCGTGAAGTAGCATTCTCATGAGATAACATTTTGTAGATAAAACATTGTCCATTTGCGTAAGTTTGGAATCGTAACTGTACAGGAAGTTAAAATTCATGGTTTTCCTTTCTTTCTTTCCCTTTTCTTCCGAATTTCTTAGAAAATAAATAGAACGATGCCGTACGAAGGATTTCCATATTCTCATGTTGATGTAATAAGCTTTCTCTCGTTTCGAGACAAAGCTTGGCCAAAGCCAAAGCTTATATATCCGATTTTCACGGTACGATCGATCTCTGCCGGTCCGTTGAGAATCCTGGTTAAATCAACGGGTCCATAAAATCCTTTCTCTCTCTCTCTCTCTCTCTCTCCCTCTCTCTCTCTGTCTCTCAAATTATTCTCCAGCGATTGTTCGTACGTTTATCGTTAGATACAGTTACTAGGTAGATGTTCTATCATGAATATTCCCTATATTTAGCATATATATTCTCTTGTATTTCTCTAACAAGATCGAAAAGCAAATTGATAAACCCTTCCGATGCCATTCCAAATGTAATTCCATAACCAAAATCATTTCTATCCAATAATCATCATCATATCGTAGATTATAATATCTTTCAAAATTTTCTTTATTGTTTCTTGTAACATAGTAATTTGAATATTTGATTAAAACGTAACCTATGATTAAATATAAAAAAATATGATTTATTTTTCCGATTTGTATTCAGTCAAATTAGAAGCAATTCGCGTTACATGAATTATAGAGACAGAATCAAACTGTTTGACTTCCATTATTCTGCTGAAAGAGCCATCGTTGATCATCGGGTACAATTAGCGAATGCAGAAATGGCTCGTGTATGCAAATTTATCTGGTAATCCTGGAAAACTACATATACCACTGCTCTTGCACGATTTAATCACGCTACGTGAGCAATTCAATCTCTTATTTTCTTCTCTGTTGACCAACGTTGTTCGCGACAATATTACGGAAAGAGAAAGAGAGATGAAAAAAGAAAGAAGATTTTTAAATTTATTCTCCCTATTTGTCATTCCTATTTCTTTTCATTTTCTCGACGAATTTCTCCTTTGATGGCTTATTCGTATCGTATCACGAACAAATTCATTTCATTCATTTTTTGGAAGGATATAAATGTACCACTCACTTTGTAAATTAGTACAAAGGGGAAAAAAAGGTTATCGGTTAATAGAAGAAGTGAAGTGAAAGGTAGCAGGCGCTTTCTCGATTGTAGAAAAGATGAAAAAGGGGGTGTGGTTATGGGTAGGGGGATGGGGGGATAGGTAAAGATTAAAGATACGAAAGGGATGAGTGGGGAAAATAATTTCCCTACGGCGTGATTAATGAATTTAATTAGAATTAATAATTAGTGTCACATAGAAGGAGAAAGTTTTCTCTTTTCATTTCTAACTTGATATCTACTTACTTACATGCATACATACATACATACATACATATATACATTTATACATATATAACATCATTAACCCAACCGACATGAATATTCTCCTTTTCCCTTTCTCGACACAATTAGTAGCGAATCTTTGTTAAACACGACTCGTATAAGAGTTTGCGACTCATTAAGAACGTTTTATTAGTGACGAATGTTTTCGCATAACCGATCTACGAGAGTAGTGTTCGCGTCACGCGCGTTTCCCTGGAAACAGGATCGTGCCATACATATATATTCGTGTATACGTATATTATGTCTCTTTTCCCTCACTGTGTCTAATTAATTTCTTTGGTAAAACTACTCAACGACGATTCATACTGGTCATGCTCATTCCTTGCGAACCGAAATAACGAAAGGGAAATAAATTACTAATGAAAGTTAGAAAAAGAAAAAAATGTCAACGCTAAGCAATTCGTTTGTAGATGAGATTATTAAAGACAAATTTCAATAGAATTGTCGATGAGAAGGATCGTTTTCTTGTGTGCATATACTTGTACACGTACGCGTACGCGTATGCGTGTGATAAGAGAGAACCATCCAAGAACGATATTTAATAAGGTTTCTACATTCCAATTGGAAATCATATCATATAATCAAGGGAAGCATTCAGAAAGTTTTCTAACACGAAGTTAAGTTAAAGCAAACTTTAAGTTCTTATAGAAGGACGATCGATCTTTCAAGGAAGACGAGAGAGAGAGAGAGAGAGCTATTGAAATCGCCGAGTTTTCGCCTCTATCGTTATCCGACATCAATGTCATCCTTCTCACGTAGAAAGAACCCATGAATGTCGATAAAAAAAAAGCTTGATGAAGATTAACGGAAAATTATTCGAAACTTTCATCGTGATTTTGCAAATGATCTATATATTTTATTTTTTTTTTATTTTATCGTTTTTGTTTTTAATACGATCGACAAGAAGTAACATTTATTTAACAATAAGTAAGAAAATCTTTAAACAAGAATAAAATCGTAAATTTCTGTCACGTTGAACTTCAAGGATACATTTGTAAATCAATTATTTCGTATTGTATGCTTAGAAAGAAAATAAGGGCAACAATTGATTTAAAATTAAATGATTAATTGAATACTTTGAGAAATGTGTTACTTCACTCATGGAACGGAAATTAAGTATTCAACGTGTCAAGTGCAGGAGCGTTACAGATGCATTTTGTTAAGCTTAGTTTCTGGGATGTCGTAACGAGAAGAAACATTAGTGAAAGCTTTTATGTTAATTAAAACGATCAACTTTAGTTTAGATTAGATCTTCATTAGAAATAATTATAACTTTATTTTATATATTATGTTAATGTAATAACATTAATCATTTTATAATGAAATCAACAAGCAAATCAACACATGAAAACACAAAAACATATATAATTATATATTGAAACAAGTTGAAATATATGAACAATGTCTCGATGATAAGCTCTTTTTTTTTTTGAGAAACATAAACTCGACCTATTTAAATACATCGTTAGTAGTCTCGTGTACGTTTCTGTCAGCTTTTAGCAGCTTCACTGGCAGCAAGTTGTGCTGTCGAGCAGATTGAATGAACGAATTAAGTTTTCATTGCGACGATGTGTGGTACTCTAGGGACTCTTTCTGTCTGTCTCTCTCTCTCTCTCTCTGTCTCTTTCTCACCCATGATATCACTATCTTTCTTTTTTTCTTTTTCTCTCTCTCTCTCTCTCTCTCTTTTTCTTTTACTCACACGTAGTATACTCGTCTCTTTTTTTTCATTCTCTTTTTCTCTTTCTTTTTTTCTCTTTTGCTTTTTTAAACTTGTAGTATTTTTGTGTCTATCTTTTTCCATATCTATCTTATTTCTTCAATATGCTATGTCCAGCCCTGTATACTTGTATACTTGTCATCTTGTTCTATCTCCGTTTGATCGTAATAATTCTCCCCCACTACATCGTAGTACTTCTCTTTATTGAGGGACTTGACGGAAGGTCGTGAGGCGACCGCGATTATTGGCTGGGACAACAATTGCAAGGTTAAACGGAAGCACGAGCTCGTTTATCGTTTATGTGATTCATTTATAAGCGCAAATTGTTCAAAGAAATTATTCTAAACATAAAAAGACAATGTAACAAGATTTTGTAGGTAATATAAAAAGAAACCGTGTGTATGAAGGATTAAAAATCTTTTTATCTTGCCATCCTATCTTTCTCCTGGTTGTTGAACAAGCAAATGTCCGCGAACTGGTTAAATTAGCGAGTATGCGGGAAAGCACTTAGAGAGAACATAGCTCGTACACGGTGAACGTTTCTAAAGTACTTACATATATACGCCCGAGCGTAAATCCAAAAATTCAATGTCCAAAGAGGATAGAATGGAAGGGAGACAAAAAATTACAGGAAAATTATTATTTTATATTCGTATCACACACACGCACACATGCATGTATGCGTATATATATGTGAACTCACGCATATACGTATAAATATTTGCACAACTTTCAATATTCGCAAAAATGCATTTAATAAACTATCTAAGAAAAATTTATATGAAACTACAAAAAAATAAAAATAAAAATTACAGATAAAAATGTGTCGTTGTTTGACAAGCACTATCATCGAGTAGGGCTAGTTTTTACATCAGTAGATCGATACAGGAATAATGTTGCAAAAAAAAAACAAAATCATAATTCGACCTAGTTATTAAATACACATATTTTGTGTGTGTGTTTACGTATAGGCTTAATAAATTATTTAAAAACAAAATTATAGATAACTTACATTAGACCACAAGTTTGTATATACTAAACCAAAAGATTTTTGACACGTAGCAAGATATTAAGGAAGTCATATTCTGAATCAATGAATCTAAACACATAGTAGTCGATTTATCGAAAACCGAAATTAATATTTCTATATACAGAATGTTTCAGGTTTTCTCGTACGAACAATGTAAGTGTATTCTACTCAAAATCGACTGAAAAAAATGACACTGTCTGAAACAATAAAATAAACACACGAACTTTTGGTTAACCCTAATATAAAATACTATTAAAATGATCTACGTTCATATAATATATTTGTTTTTTCTTATATACAATACATATATTTGAGCATAACAATATGCTCACAATGTGTTTGGCGGGAAAAAAACACCTCAGATATCCCGTATATCAAAGCTTTTACTTTTCTCTTTCTGTAACACTAATACTAACTCTAATACTGACTCTCTTATTTGAGAGTACGCATGAAGATAAGGGACGTGGGTTGAAGAGGTGATGGAGGTGGACGACGACGAGAAGGAGATGGAGATTATGTGGGAGGAGGAGGAAGAGGAGGAGGAAAAGGAGGAGGAGGGGGAGGGGGAGGAGGGGGGAAGGGGAGGAAACGAACAGAGGACCAGCAGAAGCTCGACCGGGATCGTCAGAGTGCCCTCCGACTTGGCCGCGCACGCATCCCTCCTCTGCCAAGAGCAACGATATCGAGTCGATATTGTGAGAACGCGCGCGTTGACAACCATTACGAAGAAGAAGATACCACAAGAACGTCAACGAGAGGTAGAAAGAGAAAGAGAGAGAAAGAAAGAGAAAGAGAGAGAGAGAAAAAGAGAGAAAACTACTTTCGAAGTTTCGAAAGTTCGCGCATTCTTTCGGTGAAGGATCGAGATACGGTTAGGACAACGATAACGATAATCAAAATCACCACGAGGAGAAGAACGAAGATTAAGAAGATTAAGGAAAAGAAAGAAGAGAGAAATGAAAGAATCATTCTTCGAAGAATATTCTATTTTATTCGACTACCTGTGGTATTTTTTCGGATGATCGAGGAATAACGTTTCATTGATTATCGATTTGTTTCCCGTTGTTGAAAAACAAAACGAAAAAATAAAATAAAATAAAAAGGAAAGAGAAAATAAAGAAGCACAAGGGGATCTGTATATTATACTTCATCATTCAGATTGTAATATGCTTATTGTTATGAGCGTATGAATGGTGTGTTGTTGGTGAAGTTTCAAGAGTATAATAAAGTGTCCGTCGATTCGGTCGTCGATTAATTATTTATCGTCAATCGATCGAAGAAATATAAGAAAAAAAAAAAAAAAAAAGAAAAAAAAATAAGAAAGAAATTAATAGGATCAAGAAGTCGCGTGATAACGGAAGATAAAGGTCGAAATCATCGTGAGAAGATTTTTCGCGCGATGCGCCATTGAACAACGATGCCTGCTGAGATATAAAAATAAAAAATCGCAGAGTACTGAAATATATATATATACGAGATTAAATTTTCCCCTAGGATGCATCTTTGAAAACACTTGTACCAATATATATATATATATATAGTCATCTCTTTTTTTCTTTCTCCTTTTCTCTCTCTTTCTCTCTCTCTCTCTATCTATCTCTATCTCTCTTTCTCTATCTCTCTTTCTCTCTCTCCTTTTCTCCGTGGCTTTATCAGTCTCTTAATTTTTCGTTGAACGATTATTAAAGAAGAAAGAGAATATTTTGTTAGAGATAAATATAAAGAGATCATCTCGCGTATTCGATATATCCGGAGAAGAATAGAAATCTTAATCGGAATAGTGTTGTACGCCGGACCGGAACAAGTCCTTGGCTTTGAGAAACTTGAGGATAACGTTGTGCGAACGTTGACGGTATAACACGCGCGAACAATGAAGTGGTACTACCTAGTGCTGGCACTGATCGCTGTAACCAGGGCCGACAATGCGGTCCAAACGACGGAGTATACGAATTTCAACTGTCCCGAACTCAATTCGCAAGAGGAAATCGATCTCGATAAGGTTAGTTCGTCGCGATTTATCACACAATTAAGTTATTATTATTAGATAATAAATTTATACTCTTAATTTTATAGGAATTAAAATTATAATCCATATACAAAATTATAATATAAAATAAAATGAAAGTTATTATTTTAAACATAAATATACAAAATATCACTGACTGAGCTTTAATCGATGTTCGTTTTCTTGACCACAGAGGTCATCATTTTAAAATGAATTTATTTTTTTTTGCGTTTTTTTTTTCTTTTTTTTTTTTTTTTTTTTTTTTTTTTTTTTTCTTTTTTTTTTTTATTGTTTTCGTTTTTTCTCATGTTTTATGTGCAAGCACATGAACGCGTTGGGGAGACAGATTTCAACGATATTCTCCTGTAATTTTACGAATGAAAATATACGCGCTCTCGCGCAATTTTTCCGAGAGACCGAATTACGATTTTCATGGGTAGGGGTTGAAGGAAGAGAATGAGAGAGAGAGCATAGGGTAAATGGTTATGGTTCGTGTAATATCCATAATGAACGGCCTGTGATTCGATCTTTCTTTCCCTTTCTATCTCCCTCTCTCTCTCTCTCTCTCTCTCTCTCTCTCTCTCCTACCCTCATTTTTTCATTTTTTTTTCTTTTTTTTTATCAACAGTTGCTCGCGTTTATCACGTTTCGAGCAAACAAAAATATACGAGGGGGTTGGTGAGACGATGTTCGGACGATTAAAGTTGTAAATTGTAAATGTCGCCTTTATGAGCTGGATAAAAGCTTGCGGAATAATGGAACTCTTTAATTTTCTTTTTTTTTTGTTTTTGTAATACGTTCGTTGGTCAAATTTCGAAGAATTTTCAATTTGTATTCATGAAAAATCTCTCTCTCTATCTCTCTCTCTCTCTCTTTCTCTTCATATACATATATATTACATATATCTCGTACACGTACGTATATATATATATATACATGTATGAATTATTTTTTAATAGAAAAATAAAAAATCAAGGAGAAATTTTCGAAACGATCGAAAAGATAAGTTCGATAAGCGTTAGAGGTGGGTCACGTAATGGCTCGGAGTTGGCCGTAGCTTAAAGTATCGTTAATTCAAAACAATTACGAGTTCCTGGCACGCTGCCTCGGCGAAGTTGTCGAGTCCAGAGAGAGTGTGAGAGATAGAAAGAGAAAGAAAAAGATAGAGAGAGAGAAAGAGAAAGAGAGAGAGAAAGAAAGAGAGAGAGAAAGAAAGAKAGAGATAGAGATAGAGAGAGAGAGAGAGAGAGAAAAAGATAGGAGCTGGTTTATAGTCGTTACATACAAAGTTAAGTTAACTGATGGATATAATTCGAATAAAATGAAATGTTCGTTTAGAAAATCGCATACATTTTGACCAAGCAAGCTATTTGACATTTTCCTATATGCTCTACATATGCATGACTATCTAATGTCCCTTGAGAGATTTATGAGAAATCGTCGAGTTGGATTTCAAGCTTAGAAAACAATTTCCGTGTGTCTTGCTTGCATTGGTAATCATCTGCCAAGGTAAATCTCGTTTTCTTTAAGAATTTCTCTAATGTCAACGTTGAAATATTATATTTTGTTAAAATAAGTGAAATAGAAAAATATTACGAGAGAGAGAGAGAGAGAGAGAGAGAGCGTAACGAATATTTACCAAACGACATATTTCTTTTACGTTTCTTCATCTTTTTCTTTTTTTTCTAATTAACCTAGGACTAATTAATATCTTTACGTCGTTTACACAAGTCGCATATTCGATGGGGTTACTCAATTTTTTTTCTTTTGATTTCTTTTTTAAATCACAAGAGATTAATTTGTATGTTTTCTAATGGTCACATATTTGATTGAATTTCTTGGTTTTTTTTTTAGGTGAGTTTATTGACCTAAAATTGACTAATATTATTTCATTGCTTAAAAATGTCGCATATTTCGTTGGATTATCTTGATATCTTTCTTTTATTTCTGATTAATTTCACCTTAGATTTGATTTAATTCATCTAATATCAATTTAACATTTGTTCGTCGTTTTAAAAATTGCCATTTATTTACATAATTACGATAATGCAATGTCCAATATCGCGACATTATTTTGTTGGTCGATTGTTCGTAAATTTCGATCGTAGTTTCATCCATATTATTATTATTATTATTATAATGGAACATCGTCGGGTATAAAAGGAAGATGAATCATACGAGATAGATGGAGATCGTACTCGACGTCTATCAAGGGAGAGAAAGAGAGAAAGAGAGAGAGAGAAAGAGAAAGAGAAAGAGAAAGAGAGAATTCGGCTTGTCAACTGTCGTTGTCAAGCCGGTTACATCGCGGAGTTCGTCGAGGCTTAATAGTACTTCCTATTATTCGAAGTTTCGAAACGTGCAAGGTGGATAATCGAAGCTAGAAGTACATCGAATACTGTACCGATATATACGTATACTCGTAGTCACGTTTAGAATGTGCATAGAATTTAACATGGAACGTAGAATTCGATAATAGTAAACTTCCGTTATCGATTCGATAAAATTTCGCGCTAGTTGAAGGGAACGGGAAACGGGGGACGGGGAACGGATAAGAGGGAAGGATCTTTTGTGGGGCTTAGGGAGTTGGTTTTACTTTAACCAAAAATTTCACCAAGATTTTTTTGTTACCTTTCTCAATTTTGTCTACTCGTTGATTTTAAAATATTTTTCTTTTTTTTTTACACTTTTATCGTGAAATCTCATTTCTCTTTCGTCCAAGTACCATCAAGTCTCTCTCTCTCTTTCTCTCTCTCTCTCTCTCTCCACCTGAAATTTCCCTGCATGGTGATAAACCGTAAACACTTTGCATCTCACGTCTTTTACCCTTTAGTTTCGTTCTTTCTTTATTTTTTTTTTCCTTTCTTTATTTCTTACCCTCCATCACTGGTGTTCTCTTGCTTGTTGAAAAGAAAAAAAAGGGTAAGAAAATACGAAAAGCGAAACGAGTCGTGTGTCGAGTTGGTATAGAGAAACGAAGTGGTAGGACCTTTTCCACGTTCCGTTTCCTTCTTGTTTTCCATATAGCTGACTTCTCGATTAGCATAAGCTTCGCTTAAAATCCATGCGCTGAATATAAAGCGAGTCGAGACGTTGTCGTTGTTACTAGTTGAAGTTATGGGCAAGCTGTTGCAAGGGTTGCAGCTGCGTATCTCTCTCTCTCTCTCTCTCTTTCTCTCTCTTTTCATCCCTTTTTGTTTTTATTTTTCATCTTGTTACATTTGCGATCAAAAAGAGAAAAGTAACCGGGACAACAATTTCATTGTAATTTGTGTCCATTGATGAATAACCCGAAGATATACAATGCTTACTTTATTATTGCGAATACACGATTGTCTTAACGATATTCCGTAGAAATATTTTTATCGAGAGAGAACGTTGGGAAAGATAAGTTGGATTTTTCTTTAGCTACAATTTTTCCGCTTCGCTTGAAGATTTACGTGGCTATCGGGATGGAATTTATGAACAGTCTCCTTTTCGTCTTGAATCTTTCCGTGATCTTGAACTTCCGTTTTGGCCGGACTCACACAACTCTACGACGTCCTCGTCCTCGTTTTAGTTGTAGATATCGCAAATCATAGATATTCAGTCGATATTTTTTCTTTCTTTCTACCTCAACCATAGATTTTTCCATCTTTCGTATAAAATATAGCGACATTTTATGGTCCATTTGACGATAATATGACAACGATTGGCGTTATACTCGTAAAATGTCTTCTTTGGAAACGTTTAAGTTCTTTAGATTATACTTTTCATTCGTTATTAATCAGTTATAATATAATCATTTTATATCGTAGGCTTATACATTAAACGTAGCAATTAATTTGGTGTCGTGATATTAAATTTATTACATCAAAATCGTTATATACTTTTTCTTCAGGAATTAATGTAACGAATTATGTGTATCATACAATCATTTGAAAAGTATTATTAGATGCAGAGAAGGGGGCTAATCAAGTATTACATAGAAAAAGAAATAATTGTATTTTTACTATATTTTACGTAGATGCAAATACTCTTGCGAAATCAATTTTTGATCATTTAAATAAAACGTTCTCCTGTAATACAATTGATATCATTTCGAAAGTTGAATAAATTTTAAAATACGTTTATTTGTATAAGAATTTGAAAACAATGCATTACAAGCATATATCGATTATTTAAAATTTACAATAGTAGTACGAATACTCTTATGATTCGCTACATACATACATATATATATGTATATGTTATCGTGAAAAATCGAAATTGGATTCACATGGTCGCTTCCTATATGTATTATTGTATTAATGTATAAGAATAAACCCAAATATTCGATCTGTCACGAACCTATTTGATATCTGTTGACAAGAGATCATATGAATCTTGACATTCTCCAATTTTGGTCTTTCACGGTAACATATATAAATAAATTAACTGAAATAATCAATAAAGTTCAGGTAGAAATCACGGGGCTGTAAATCGAGCAACGTGCATTCTGATCGAAATAGTCGTTTAGATAATCAAAGGGAAATTCTACAAGTTTCTCAGTATTCGTAATAGTGCATACATATAGATAGATTGATATATACACATATGATAGGTGTGTACGAAGTCATCGACCGATAGATTACCATTTACATAACATAGAAGGCAGGCTAACGATCGAAATCGGATTTGTCGATGACGAGATGGCTGTCACGTTGAAAGACGTCCTTCTTTTTCTCTTTAACCATCCGATAAATGACCTCATTAGCTTTTTTTTTTTTTCTTCCTTTTCATTCCTATCAATCAAAGGTTCTTTTAAAAACAATTTTTTTTTTTCTCTATCAGACTTTCTCAATTATCTCATAGCTCGACGAAGGCATCAGACGGTTAATGAAATATTTTATTAACATCTATTCTTTTAATTTATAATATAGAAAAAGGGGAAGAGAGAAAAAGAGAGAGAGAGAGAGAGAGAGAGAACGATAGTATCAGTAATCGATGAAAGGTATCCGGAGTTCTCTCGTTTC